CTTTGCTGCTGATTATGTTTCCCCACTTGCTAAATCTGTTGCCCATCCCGACTTCTTTTCTTACCCCCGTCTGACTTGGATGCCAAGATGTCTTGCCACTCCATCTCAATGTTCTTGGCAGCATTTACCACTTGTGCCACATTAGTAAACTTTTCATTGATCATTTTGGAGCGGTACTTGTAATGAATCGTCCACTTAAACTTTTCAACCTGCTCTAGAGATGTCCCAACTGACGATCCTGCAAAACCAGCGAGCCTCAAGAACCTTGCGAAATACTCTGTCACAGACTCATCATCCCGCTGGAAAATTGTGGCATGCTCTCTCACAAATGCGTTCTTATTCGTAGCTGAGAAATACTGCTGATAGAACTCCTCACAAACCCTATCCACGAAAGGACATCAATATATGCATTGCCTTTAAGCTTGCTTGATCGAGTCCCACCATATCTAACCCTCTTCCTACTAACGTGGAATAACTAAACTCAACACCACATTTTAATGTTTTGAATACCCAAATTCTTATGATGACACATCATTCTTATGGTTTATGTATATATAGGGGCGGGTTCTTTTGTTAACCAATAATTGGTGTTAACTTTATGAACCAATCTTGGCCCTTGATTCTTAAAATCTATGGATGAGATCAATTGTGACATATTTGTAAGTAATTAAAAATGAAGGATATCAAAACATAGGTGAATGGGGGTATTTTTGGGAGAGATGTCCAAATCGATTACAAATCAATAATTAATTAATTACATCGGTTACAGATCGGTAATTGCTCATTCCTTTTATAGTTCGTTGAATCATCCGTGTTGCATTATGAACACTTATGAATACATATGAACATATATGTAATTTATTAACTACTCTTAGTTTGTAGCTTTCACATATGAACATACGGGAACACTTATGAACACTTATTTGCACCTATTAAAACTTATGGACACTAAAGTAATTGGTTTTCACATGTGAACACAATAATATATGATCAAAGTGTTTCGTTTGTGAAAACATATTGACCAAATGGTAGATGTATATAGATATTGTATTATGAACACACTGGAACACATGTGAACAATATATATGCCATATGAACATTGGCGACTACATATATGTTGAAGATAGAACATTCAAGTTTCTTATCATATTACAATAACAATCCATCTATAATTTGAAAAAAAAAACATATTTTAGTTATAATCATGGGATTTATGTTTTTGTAACCGCCCATTAATGAATGTGAAGTTAAGACAAAAAAAGATTATCATTGTGTCGTCGATATTAATTGTATGTTGGTACTTGGTAGAAGAAGCTAATCTAACAAAGGCTTGTGATTGGTCTAAATGGTTTGTATAGTTAATACACTTTTTATGGTTAACAAATGATCTTAACACTCTCTCTCTCTCTCTCTCTCTCTCTCTCTATATATATATATATATATATATGGGCCTAATCAAATAAGAACTAATTAGTTTGTGGTAACTATGAGATCCAACTTGAACCAATCACTTAAGATAATTAATATTTTTCTTAAAATGAAATAGAAGGGTAAGTTAGTAATTTGTGTTGATTATTCAATTTACTATAATTAGTTTAATATTCCAGTTTACTTTAATTAGATTAATTACGTTATTATTATTATTATTATTATTATTATTATTATTATTATACACACACACACAATGGACAAAATCCAGTGACCTCCTCCGGCAAGTGATGACCTCCTCCGGTCACCTTGTCTGACCAAAACGTCGTTTTCGACGACCATCTCCCTTCCCCCATCCCCGCTATTGACCACCATCTACACCGACACTCCCTTTGATCTCCCCCTCAAAAGCCCTCATCGATTACCCTCCAACACCTTCCATCCGGTAGCACCCACCATCCGGGAGAACTCTCCACCCCGGTGGTCATCTCCATGCCAACCTTCTTCTCCATCCAACCTCCAAACCTACAACACACATACATACATTGCAGACATACACATTGCACACACACATACAACACACAATATGCACATTGTAGACACACACACATACACACATACACACAGATATATATATATATATATATATATATATATGACGTAGGTATCATAATGGTACTATAGTTGGTATCACAATTGTACCACAATTGATATCACAATTGTACCACAGTTAGTATCATAGTGGTCTCGAAGTTTACTTGGTGTGTTTTGGATATCACATTGTACGTATTTTGGGTATCACATTATGTATCGTGGTGTATTTTAGGTATCACATTATGTATCGTGGTGTATTTTGGGTATCACATGGTGTTGCCGAAATAAGGTTTACTGGAGGCCAGAAGAAGCAGGAGAGAGAGACATAGGAGAGAAAAAAAAAAGTTAAATACCTAAAAAGCCTTTTAATTAAAATTTAAGTCAAATTACCAAAAATATTACTTTTTTAATTTATCATTGATTTGTGGTTGAGATTAGATATCACAGTTATCACAAACTAATCAGTTCTCCCTTAAATAGATCCCTATATATATATATATATGTGTGTGTGTGTGTGTGTGTGTGTGTGGAGGTTCAAACAAGAACCCATGTGATTTACAAAAATGTGAGAACAACCTACTAACCTCAAACTTTTTTAATCAATAACTTAAATTATATTAAATACAAATAAGTCAATAAGGACAGTAATGTAATTAGGTATCTTTTATAATTTTTATTTTATTTTAATTAATTAAAATTATCTCGTCATTTTTTGTTGGGATTGATCAAGTTGGTTGGGATTGATCATGTTCACTGTATCACTTTCTTCTTTTTCACTTTCTGCTATCATTTTCTTCCCATCGATTCATAGTATTCAAAAACTTTTTGACATAGAATGAAGGATTTGAATGTTGTATGTTAGTAATTGAGAAATTTGATGTTTCTCACATGTGATAAACATCCTAATTTGAAATTATCTGAAGATGGTTATGTTGAGGATGATGAAGGTTCGATAATAGTGTGATAACAATAATATTTCATAGTTTTTTTTTCTAAATCTGTTGTGTTATCGTCATGACTATAATGATATGGACTTTTTATTACATGTTATAAAATGTACATAGAATTGTGAATGTCAACATTTTTAGTCGATTTATAGTTATTGGTACATGTTGATTTGAGTTTAATGTTATAGTAGTTTTGTAATTGAGAATTTTGATGTTTATCATATATAATAAACATTCAAATTTGAAAGTGTATGTTACTGTAATCCTTAATGAAATTGATTATCACATGATTATCACACTCATATCACACCAAATCAAGTAATTGATTTCCTAAGTTAACCCTAGCCGAACGAAATCCTTGTGATAATTATATGACAATCACATGATTATCACACCCAAATCACATCAAATCCTGTTGAAATAAACGATAACCATAATAGCTCATTATGTTATCCCAGATTATTGGGTGTAGTATGATTGTATTTTTAAAATTTTATCACTTTCAATTCCAATATTACCCTTTTGCCTCTTAAATTGTTTCTAATTTCATTTTTAATTTAAAAAATCTTGTAATTTTTATTGTTATCACAATATAAGGTTAATAGGTTGTTCTCGTGTTTTGCAAATCACAAATAAGCTAAGTCTTATAAAATAGACATGTTGCCAAAAGAGAAAACATTTAAATGAGTCACTCCTATGAGTTCACACAAAGAAATCCACTTCTCCTATGATATGCCCACTTTATTCTCCTAATTTTTCATCTTTCAACCAATGTAGCATGATTAAATCAACTAAATTTCAAGATTTGAGTATAATGCTCAAATCTTATGGTGCGGACTCATTATCATTTGTTTTACTTTAACAGATAAAATAGATAATAAATAAGAGATTTTTGTAAAAAGAAGGAAAACTGAAATGAGCCAACGTCTATATAAATAATCTTTTTGTAACAATAAAAAAGACTACTAAAATAAGTCAACCTCATAAATTCACACGAATGAATCATCTTCTCCTTTGATTTGCCTATTTCCTCCTTATAATCTTTCATCTTTCACAATGTTGGATGATCAAAATTTCAAGATTTTGATATTCTTTGTGAGTTTAGATGATTGGCTACAAGGAGCAAACCCAATTAGTTGTCACAAAGGGATCTTAACCTTTTTTTATATACCTGTCATTCATTGTGAATCTTTCATCTTTCCATCAACGTGGAATACACAAAAATAAACCACAACTCAAGAAATGAAGAATACTCATTCTTTGTGGATTTATTTTATTATATATACACACACACACACACACACATATATATATATATATATATGTGTGTGTATGTATAAAGAGAAACTTGGGATCACGTGAGACCATCATGTTTTCGTGAGACCCGTGAGACCACTTTTTTATACTTGAAATTTCACAAAAAACACTGTAAATGTAAACTTCACAGTGTTTTTGTTGTGAATGTTCGGATTTTTTTTATCTTCACAATATTTCGATGTGAAGTTTCAAATGTAAAAAATGTTCTCACGGGTCTCACGAGAACATTATGGTCTCATATGAATCCAACCCTATAAAGATATGCACCCCCTATATTTACATAATTATCTCCTTCGATATCCCATTGGTTGAGGAGGGAACGAAGGTTCTCTTATAAAGGGCTGAATATCTTTTATATTAGACATGTTTAGTGAGTCCATGTGTAGATAAAATGGACAATATCTAGTACGGTTGTTATATATTACAAATTAGAGCCGGGAACCGGATTGGTGCCAGCGAGGACATTGTGCTCTCTGAGGGGCATTTTGAGATCCCACATCGATTAGGGAGAGAAACAAAGATTCCCTTATAACAAGTCGCATACCTCTTCTATCAAAAGCATTTAAAACCATGAATCCATTTTATGAATAAAAAGGACAATATCTGATACGATTAACCTAATTTACCCGTATTAACATGTGATTTTTATTCGGCTTGATGACTTTGACAATTTTACATAATGCATACGAGAATAAGTATAATTGTGTTCACAACATGAATCTCCTCAATAACTTGGACTTTTCTCACCGATGCAAAATTCCATTCTTCTATAAATCCACCATTGATTCTTGCCTTTTCTCATCATCTTTCAAGCATAAAAACATTCTCATTAATTCCTTCGTGAATATGAAAAACTATTATCATCTGCTTACACTTAGGAGATCCAAAGGTCTCTTCAGCTCCAATAGCAGATGGGTTCATCAAACTAGTACTGCCATTCAACGGCAACACGGCCACCGCCACCCTCCACCACCACCACCACTGCCACCTCCGTCTTCCCATCCTCATATTTCCAGAAACACATGCAGGCCCATAAATGCTTTTGTTTCACACCATTGCCTTCAAACAACTCGTTCAAATCTCACCAGTAACCATTATTATCATTCTCAAAGCTCCACCCTCCACACGTCACAACTTCAACTTCCCTACCATGAAGATGACTCATCTCCACTTCACTACCATGTAACGGTGAAGGGTAGAGACGTGATTTCATCAGCTAAGAGCAACCAACGCTACTGGCTCCCTTTGTCCAACTTAGACCTGCTCCTACCGCCGGTTGAAGCCGGAGTTTTCTTTTGTTACCGGAAAAAGGATCGGGATATGTCATCGGAGAGTGTGGTGAACAGCATAAAGAGATCGTTGGCGGGGATACTATCGTCGTTTTACCCGCTGGCCGGAGAGATTGTGGCGAACAAGCAAGGGGAGGCGGAGGTGGTGTGCAACAATGGTGGGGTGGAATTTGTACATGCGCATGCTGACATCGAGCTGAAAGACTTGGATTTGCATCACCCTGATGATTCCGTGAAGGGGAAGCTGGTGCCCAACATAAATAGAGGAGTGTTGTCAGTTCAGGTAATTAAAACCTCAACTTCAATTAATTAATTATAATATTACATAATATATAATATATTAAAATAAAATAAAAACTTTTAAAAACCATTTTTTTATGCATGAAATACTGTTTATTGATGCATATTACTTAAAATTCAAGATTACAAATAAATTATACGTAAGTACAACTTATTAAAGCTTCATGTTTGAATTCGTATAACTAACTGCAGATAAACATAATCTAAAGGATAATCATTCAATTATAACAAAATACTTAATTATTATATTTATAAAAAAATATTATTAAACCGAAGATAAAAAAAATGAATTAAAGAAATACACTAAAAAGGAAATTTTAAATAGTTAGTTTGGTACTAAAACCAATATTTTTTTCAATTATTTATGATGTCTTCATATTTATATCTTATTTAAAAAGAAAAACATTATCGCTTTCTCAAAACCATATAAAATCGTATTATAACATCGACTAAGACGAAAAAAACACAAGACAAAAAATCAAGATGTATATCGCTGCATTATGCGGGTACCCTTTTAGTGTGTATATATATATATATATAATTAGAAATAATCATGCAGTAATACGTTTTATTATATTAAAATAAGTAGTAATACCAAAAACGTAAAAGATGATCCATTTATTTGGATTTAATTGAAATTTCTTTCATTTTATATCATATATAAATTATTATTACAAATTTCTTATATTTCATGGCACAACCTTCCCATGTTACGAAATTACAAATATTTCAGAATTTTTAGAATTTTTTGTATTTGATTTTTGGTTAAATGAATCTATTGAAAGATAATATTAATAGTAATATGTGAAATTAAGTAGTAATAAAATAATATTAACTAATAATTATTATAAATTAATAATAATAAATAACAATAAGTGGAAAAGTGGATTGAGAACTCATGGAACTATCATGATGTGTGTGTATATAACATAGAGAGAGTGGAGATTTATTTTACAAATCATTTATTTCATAGAAATCGTATAAACCAATCACATTCATCTGTTTTCATGATTAAATGTCATAATTAAAATAAATTATTTTAATAAAATAAAAAAATAATACAAAAAAATATTATTATTTTCTCTAATAAAGGATAAAATGGGAACACGTTTTAAAACGTTTGGGATCATTGAAATCTTCTTTTCTAGAATTAAACCTCATCTCCTAAAATAATTTATCATTGAAACATTTTAAAAACTGAAGGAAACATTTTGAAAACTGAATAATATGATTTCATTAGTAAAATTGGTTTCATGAATGAAACATTTTGAAAACTGAATAATATGATTTCATTAGTGNAAACTGAATAATATGATTTCATTAGTGAAATTGGTTTCATGAATGAAACTTTTTGAAAACTGAATAATACGATTTCATTAGTGAAATTGGTTTAATGAATGAAACATTTTAAAAACGGAATAACATGATTTCATTAGTGAAATTGGTTTCATGATTCCTAACCAAAACGAAATTGGTTTTATTAATAAAATTAAATATGGTTCGGTCAATGGAATATTTTGAAAACTAAATAATATTATTTCATTAATGAAATTAGTTTCACGGTTCCTAACCAAAATGAAATTAGTTTCATTAATGAAACATTTTGAAAACTGGATAACATAATCCTGTCTCTCCCAACTCAATAATATGTTCCTTCAGAAAAAAAGAAAAAAAAACCTTTTTCAATCGAAAATCTTCTTAATCTATACAGACACATTAATCCTCATAGACTTGATGAAAAACTAGCAAACCGGCCCTTATTTTCCACATTTTAATTGTACAAGTATAAAATTATTTCTGTAACGTATTACGGGGAATAAAAATCCCCTTGTGGTTACGGAGGTTCAAATGCAATGACTCCGAACTACCTATAAAACAGTCAAACAAGTGGTCTTCTTGGGATTAATCGACTCACATAGCAGGTTGGATATCCAGGTTAATAAAAAAAACCTCAATCCGATCACATACTTTTCAGCAGCTTCAAAGCCATCAATAATTTAGCCCTCTACCAACGGATTACCAAATCACTGACTGCATACACTTCAAATGAAACAGGTGACAGAGTTCAACTGTGGAGCAATAATCATTTCATGTGCCATTGATCACAGAGTAGCCGATGCGTATTCACTCAACATGTTCTTAGTTGCATGGGCTAAATATGCCAAATCGGGAACCATGTCCGACGTAGACATCCCATCTTTCCGACCATCCATCTTCAATTCACGACGTCCGCCCACCTACGCAAAATCCCTCGATAATCTTTACATCCCAATATCGTCGATTCCACCGCCATCTTCCTTCGATCAGGGGCCGCTTCATAGTCGTATGTACTATATCCATGCTCAATCCATCGATCACCTTCAATCTGAAGCAAGCTCACAAGAATCCAAAAGAAGCAAACTCCTATCTTTCACCGCATTTTTATGGAAATTGTTAGCTCATGGAGGTGATGATGCTGTGAATACAACTTCCAGAATGGGGGTTGTCGTTGATGGACGACGGTTTCTAGCTGACGAACAACCATCTTCTCCAGAAAAAAACCACTTTGGAAACGTGCTTTCCGTTCCATTTGGTGTGGCAACTCATAGCGATCTAAAGGCAATGCCACTTAACGAAATCGCAGATAGGGTTCATAGGTTTGTGGCCGAAGCAACGAATGAAGAGCATTTCAGGGGTTTGATCGATTGGGTGGAATTACACCGGCCAAAGCCAGCAGTGGCCCGGATATATTTCGGGGTAGAAAAGTCCGAGGGCGAAGCTGTGGTGGTGTCATCTGGACGCGATTTACCGATTAATGATATGGATTTTGGATGGGGAAGGCCGGAGTTCGGGTCGCTTCATTTCCCGTGGGGTAGTCGAACCGGATACATAAGTACGATGCCGAGTGGCAAGAGAATCGGAGATTGGGTTGTTTACGTGCATCTTAAACAAAAGGATCTGGATTTGATCGAGAGAATGGCTCCCAATGTTTTTAAACCCTTAACACATTCTTTAGCTTTTGATTAACTTACGTTTCCGAAACCATCGGTTCATGATCACCAAGGAATCAAGTTTGCAGGATCGATATGGTCCTCATGTTTTACTTTATGCTCTTCTTGTTGATATATATGAAGTAGGGTTTTAAGTTGCTTGATCGAATGGTTGGTGCTTCGAAACAATTTCTTTCTAAACTATATATATTGTTATATATTTACGTCAAATTTTAAGTTGGAAAAATTGTTATGTATATTGAATTATTTTACATAACTTGTGATTTTGTATTAGTTTTGTTTTCATAAAAATATAACAAGATTTTTAAGCTCGTTAGCCCGTAGGCAAGCCCGACCCATTTATAGGGCGGGTATGTGTAAGTTTTCAAGTTCGTAACAACGGGTTTGGTTTTATCATATTAGGCTCGTTGGACAAAAAAATTGGTTAAGTGGACCTGGACCCGACCCAAACCCACAAATGATCAGCCCTAGTGCATACATTTGGTAGCAACACAATCTTCATTCAAACTAAAGCCCAACGCAAACCAATCACTTGGGCTCTTCTCCATTAAATATGGGTTTAGCCTTCTAAACCCATAAAAGTTGACAAGGCTTTCCAATTTGGGACTAGAACTAGTCTAATACTCAAAACACTTTATAATCGATCATTATATTAATTTAGGTTAAAACTTTGTATATTGTCATCTTCACCGTATACACGGATGAAATAACGATGTTTGATTTCACAAGAACCAAGGGACTTAGGTTAGAAGAGAACCTTCACCGTGGTTCATAGCCACGTGCTCTAATCCTCTGCGATTTTGCAAGAAACATATTTCTGCGATATTCTTTCATCTTTATGTGAACTGGAAGAGTACTCGCGCAATGCAGCAAGACACATCTCGATTTTAATGTTATATTTTATTATTTGTCTCTGTCGATGTTATAATACGATTTTATGTGTTTTTAAGAAAACAATAATGATTTTATTTTTAAACAAAATATAAATTTGAAGATATCATAAAAATTCGAAAAAAAACATATCAATGTTAATATCAAATCAACTATTTAAAAGTTCTCATTTTTTATGTAATTTCTTTAATTTTTTTAGTTTAATAATATAACATTTTATAAATATAATAATTAAATATTTTTATTAGAATTCAATGATTATCCTGATTATATTTTAATTTTTTTTAAATGAAATGTTTATCATGTATTTGATCATGTTTATCTGCAGGTAGTTACACGAATTCAGATATGGAACTTTAATAAGTTATAGTTACGCACAATCTACTTGCAATCTTGAGTTTTAAGTAATATGCATTAATACACATTAATTTACACATAAAAAGTGGTTTTTAAGAGTTTTTGTCAAATACTTTATAATATAGTATAGATTGAAGATATCATAAAAACATATCAATGTTAATATCAAATCAACTATTTAAAAGTTCTCATTTTTTATGTAATTTCTTTATTTTTTTTAGTTTAATCATATAACATTTTATAAAGATAATAATTAAATATTCTGTTAGAATTCAATAATTATCCTGATTATATTTTAGATTTTTTATTTTTAAAATGAGATATTTATCTTGTATTTGATCATGTTCATCTGCAGGTAGTTACACGAATTCAGATATGGAGCTTTAATAAGTTGTACTTACGCACAATTTACTTGCAATCTTGAGTTTTAAATAATATGCATTAATAAACATTACTTTACGCATAAAAAATGGTTTTTAAGAGTTTTTGTCAAATGTTTTATAATATAGTATAAATGTTCGACTTTCTCTCATCGTAATGCTATTTCTTTAGCGTTATTCATCTATTTGTTCAGTACTGTTCTTCATCGATTTTTGTACAAAAACAACGGTTGTGAGGGCTGGTGTAGATAGGAAAAAGAAGAAGAAAATGAAAGAGACTGTCGGATAGATTTTCTTTATTACCAAACATCAACAATGTAATAAAATATGATGTAATGTAAATCAATGGTTATATTCATTCTTATTTTCATTTTCATTCCTTAAAACGAATCAAACGTCATTTAAATCAATTATTGATTGATTTTCGATTTTTTTTAAAGAATTCATGGAACACAAATCATGTAATTTTGATTTGATAAATAGCTTAATGAATATTTTTTTGTTAATAATTAAATGGTTTTACTTGAAACAAATTTAAAAACAGAAAATCTAGATCAAACCTAAATCTCACCAAATTTATTATAATTATTATTAAATAACTAAATAATTACTTTTTAAAATAGAGTAATTATATTTAATTTATAAAAGGTACCAAAACCATGCTCGTGGACATGCAGCTTAGTAGACAAAGGGACGTAGCGATTTTGCTCAAATATATAACAGGTTTAAGTTCGAATGCTACAGGAGACGGCCTTTAACCTATCCGTTAGCTTCAATCGTTGAATCAGTTCCCCTCTTCCATCCCTTGTTAGGCCCAAGCCCAAAGACTACCACATTCGATTTTCTAATTTCCCAACACAAATGACACAGTTGGCAATTTTTTTAAACCGTTGATAAGTCGATATTTTCGAGGAGTTTAAATGCACAAAATAGATTTAACAGAATTTTTTTATGGAAAGTTAGAGGAGGGATCTAATTCAGATATTTTTACAAGTAACAATGGTCATTTATAACTTCAAAATTGTAGGGACGAAAAGTGTTATTTTTGACAAACTATATGAACCAAATTTAAAGTTTACTCTGAATTTTAATTATTGCATTATTAAAGATATACTAGAAGGGTAATCATGCAATGCATCGAGACATATATCGCTTTCATTGTTTTGTTTTATTCTTTTTTTATGTTGATATAATACGGTTTTATGTGATTTTTAGAACGCGATAATGTTTTTATTTTTGAATAAAATATAAATATTAAAATTTAATATATATATATATATATATATCAAATTAATCTTTTTAAAAATTCTTGTTTTTGGTGTAATTTTCTTAATTCAAAATTTTTTATTATAATTTAATTTAGGTTTAGTAACGAAGTAATTTAATTTAGGTTTAATAATATAACTTTTTATAAAGATAATAACTAAGTAGTTAGAAATCAATGATTATCCTAATTATATTTTAGATTGTTTATATTTAAAATGAGATGTTTATTCAATATTTAATTACGTTTAAACGTAGCTAGTTACACGAATTCAAATATGTAGCTTTAATAAGTTGTACTTATGCACAATTTACTTGTTATCTTAAATTTTAAGTAATATGTATCAACAAACAGTACTTCGTACATAAAAAATAGTTTTTAAAAATTTTTGTCAAATATTTTATAATATAATATAGATATTTCTCCTTTGTCATCTCTTAGTTTTTTTTTTTTTTTTCAAATATTATAAGTATGTCTCTTACTTTATGTTTTTAATATGATTTGACTATCAAATCAATTATGGCATTTTTTTTTTGTTAATACTTTATTTCACTTTACCATGAACCAGTTGGACAATAGTCAAGTGTTGCTTGTTTTCTAGCTACTATATATGTTTGGTTGTGTAAAGTGCACTAGTAGTAGTAGTGCATTTGATGACCACCAATAGGATGTTCAAAAAAGTAACCGATATAATTCATGTCGATTGATTCAATCTAAACCGATCGATCATAATTGGATCATATTGGATCTAAAATTTCAACATCGAATTTGGATTAAATTGGATCTAAAATTTCAACATCGAATTTGGATCGGTCGGTTCTTGGATGGCAGTCCAGTACTCAATAAAACCGAGTCGATCTAATCCAATTATTATCCAATTAATAACTATATATAATTATCAACATCTTACGATATTTTTCTAGTTAATATTTATAAGTAGCGTTTTTTTTAGTAAATTAAATGAATATATGAATAATTGGTTAAAATGGTAGATTAATTGGTTGAGAATTGGCTCAAATATTGAAGAAACCAATCTTATCCAATAAATAACCAATAATAATATCCGATGGGTGAAACCGGTCCGATCCAAGCATCAATTGGATTTGATTGGATCGGATGTTCAATATTAATTGGATTGGATCGGATGACAAAATCCAACATCCAATGGATGATTGGATTCAACTAAACCATTGGATTTTAACCGATGAACACCCGTAATCACTACTAGAGACTGCTAAAATGGACTCGTTCTGGCCCTGGATGGGCCCGGCATTCCCTAACCGGTTTATGGATTTTACAAAAATTCAAGATCTAGCCTGGGACTTAGACTAGTTATACATAGGCTCATTTTTTTTAAATAAGTTTTTATAAATTATATATCAAGATTTTTATAAATTTACTTTAACTATTTCAAGTTCTTCTGGGAGTTTTTCAAGTTTTTTAAAGTGTTCCCAAACTAACTTTCAAAAATCATAATCTATACTATATTATATATCATTTGGGTTAAACTCTTAAAAACTATTTTTGATGCGTCAAGTACTGTTTAATAATGCATATTACTTAAAATTCAAAATTACAAGTAAATAATGCATGAATAGTTATATGTTTGAAATCATATAATTAACTGATAAACATAATCAAATATAAAATAAACATCTCATGTAAATGTAAATGATTAAGAAAATTATTAGATTCTAATAGATTATTTAATTATTATCGTTATAAAATATTATTAAAATCAAATAAATTACTTCTTTATTAAAACTAATTTAATTTTAATAAAAAATTGAACTAAAAATTATATTTATACAAAAATATATCAAATTATTAAAACTAAAATAAATAAATTCGTTATTAAATCTAAATAAAACTTAACTACAAAAAACTATATAAAACCGAGAACATTTAAATTGTTAATATGATACTAATATCAATATATATTTTTTCAAATTTATATTTTATTCAAATACAAAAAACATTATCGTTTTCTTAAAACCATACAAAACCGTAATAAAATAGACAAATAATAAAACGAAACATTAAAATCAATATATATTGCACTGTATTGTGCAAGTACAGTTTTAGTTATAAAAACATTGTAAAAAGATTCAAAAAAATAATTAAAAATATGTTTGAATGACGTAATTAGAGATTTTTAAGTATATTTCAATAAAACATT